GGTTGAGTTCCCATCCCTGGAGGTATTTAAAAGATGTGTAGATGTGGCGCTTAGGGACACGGTTTAGTGCTGGACTTGGCAGTGCTAGGTTAACAGTTGGACTTGATGATCGTAAAGGTCTCTTCCAACCTAACGATTCTATGATTCTATGATTATAAAAGTAACAGTACTGCTTTCAATGTTTTATTAATCAGCAAGTTTTCCTCAAACACATTTTGCAGTACTAATAACCAGAGCACTAGTATGTTCAGGGAAAGCAGAACTTAACAAATCTACTTTTTTACAGCTGCATCTGAAATTATTCCGGTGCATGCAAAAATTAATGAGTTGCATGCTATTTTCAGCTTCACTTAGAAATAAAGAAAACAGTTTACTGGAAGAATAGACAATTAATAATGAAAATTGCTTAAATGCTCCTAGGATTATTAAAGAGACAAAACAAAGTACTAAAATCTTGATTAAGGTTGTCCTAAAATAAAGAAACAGAAGTAAATATACAGTACGTACTTTGTGATATGAACTCGTTTGACTGCATAAGTTCTCTCATCAAGCTTTCCTGTTGCTTTGAAAACATTCCCAAAACCACCTTCACCAATAGGCTCTATATTGTTAAAACTCTCAAGAAATCTTTAAAGAAAAAAAAAAAAAAAAGATATATAACTTAAGTATACTTAACATTAAATTTACATGATATAAAAATGAGCCCAACAGATCTAATACATCTGCTGAAATATCATTCTATAGGGATCACTCAACACCTATACAGGTCTAAATCATAGTCTTGAAGATCAAAAAAACAAGGGAAACTGACCCTTGAAAGCAGGTAGGGTAATTACCCTCACATCTTCACACAAATGACTTTTGGTTGTAAGCATTAAATATCACTGCATGTCAGCTGCTATACTATATTTGAAATTTCCAGAAAAAAAAAAAAATCTCAAATACCAATTTCCTTTGAAAGTTATTTTTACAGCAGTATTTTCCCACATTCTATTATACATAAACAAGTCTAGAGCACTACATACTTTAACTGCCATACAGATCTCATAAAAAAAAAAAAATAATCCTTCTTACCTTTTATTCACAGTGTATGGACTTTCATTCTCCTCACTGGTATTTGTGTCCAAATCTGGCAAATTTTCATCAAAATCTGACATCTGGTTTTTTTCTTCCTTTTTTCTTGCGTAATGAAAATTAGCTGCTATTTTGCTTTAACAAGGATAAAAGCAAAACTTATAATGAGCCATTTTTCTAGTACGCGACAAGAGAAAAGATGCGTGCCTCCCAATATTGTCATTTCTTTGTTAGATATAGAAACACCAAAGTGGTTTGCAATATAGCTTATGGGAGATAGCAACCTAGAAATAAACACGTACCTTTTGGCAGAACTTCTTGCGTTTCTCTGCATGAAAAAGAGAAAAAAATACTAACTGAGATATCCTGAATATTTTCACTATACTTACTTTAAAATGTGTCTGAAAATGTATCTAGGGATTGTCTATGAATGTGTTCAGGCCTTATATAAACCATGTAACAAGAACGAGGCCATATCTTAGCTTAAAATTTTTCACATATGCTATGTATGAAATCATCGTTCTTCCCACAGAAAAATATGAGCTTAGTTTGATCCCCTTTCTTGGGTGTAATGCCCATTTGGTCAACAGTACATAAATTGCATCCACAGTACAGACTAATGTAAATGACTAATGGTTAAGAGTAAGAAAGTACTGAACACGTGTTTTCTAGTGATTAGCGGATAAAGGAACAAACTGATGCTACACTGAGAAGAAGCTTGCTCTATTCAGGGTCTAAAATGTAATTATGAGAAAGACCATTTTCGTACTATACCTGATGAGGTGAAGGCTTTTCACATACTGCCACGTCTTTCATTTTTTCTACCAACTTTGCAGCTGAGTCATCAGAGCAACTATTGCTGTTATTGAAAAATAATAGACTAGTCTTAGGTGAAAGTAACACAATCATAAATAAAATGATTGCCACGAGAAAAAAAAAGCATAAAAAATAGACAGTTTTTAAAAGCAAAACCTGAAAAGGCATTAACAATCACGACTGATTTAAGTTACAAAACTTCATGCTGGAAAGCTAATAAAACAATAACGTTTTGTAATATACTCCTCTCTTTTTAGGATATGATATCATGATATCTAGAGATCTATATGATATATATTCTATTATATCCTTTAATTAAATAGGTTAAATACAGATGTTTATTTCAAGGCAGTGCAGCCACCTCTAGCATTGTACGCATCAGCTTGCTTTACAATCACCCAAAGAACATAAAAGAAGGGGTAGTGGGACTACAGTCAAATTAACTGATGGGCACTAAAGGCTTGACCTAGGGTTCCCAAATCACAAATGAAACTTTATGTATGTTCATTTTCTTTCACTACGCAAACTTTCCCTCTGGTGGAAATGAAGACTTATGGAGAATGACAAAGGGGCGGGGGGAAGAGAGAGAGAAGAAAGCAGAACGTGGAGCATGGGAAAATACCGAATACTGAGTTCACAATAGTGTCGCAATAGGAAAATGAGTGTTAAAAATGGCATGAAATAATGCTACTGAATGAGGTAGGTTATTCCATTTACATCACAGTAAAAATACTTCTGAAAGAACTACTCATGGCAAAATATTAATAGATCAGAAAGCTCTACAATTATTATAAGCTAACCCATCAGGACTCAAATAAAACTGCACAAGTACAACAAATTTTGCTCTGAAGTCTAAGAAATATAAGCTCAAATTATGTGGCTTTGTACTGCAATAAAGAAACTAGGACAGATTTTATTTGGAACTAGATCACATGACCCTCTACGATTAGTAAGTACATTTTGTTATCACACTATTAGTGAACCCAACTTACTCCAAGTCAGACTGTGCTGGCACTTGAGAGGAATTACTATGTTCACTAAATGTAGAGTTGCTGTTCGATTTTTCACTTCTCATCTGAAAAAAGAAAAAACAAGAATGGTTAACAAAATCACGTAAAAAAAAATCCCTGGTGCAAAAGATGCCATTCAAGGAGGGGGGAGGGAAGATTACAAGGTCCTAAGTGGAAGCTGTTAACCGCACTGAACATTCAAAGCCCTGCAGAACAAAGGCACCTGCCCAACTTCCACCCAGAGGAGTGAAACACAGGGCCCCGTCACAGTGAGAGTTTTCCCACTCCTATTGAGAAGATAGACACATTTGCAGAAGTAGAGTCTGGGATCTATTAGAAATCAGGATGAGAGTAACAGTTATTAAAAGAAACTATTTTCAATGTTTACTGCATATGCAATTGGGTGGAAAATGAGATGGATGTAGGCTTTGGTATATGTAATCGGTAGAACTGAAAATCTGAATCTGCACAAAAAGACATTCAATGTCTTCAGCGTGAAAACCCTGCAAAACCTGGATTACTAAAAAACTCAACCAAAAAAAATTAATCCTAAATACTCAGTAGAGGTTCTTCCCCCTTTTTTTCCCCCTATGTCATAAGAGCATAAATGTAACATTAAAAGCAATACCTACAATTGTTACAGACCATAACCTGACAAAAAGTAAAAAAACTTAAGGGTTTATGTTTCAATGATAGCCAACAAACAAAACCCGTCTTTTTGAATTCAGGAGTACTAGGCCTTTACTACTTTTTGCTAGTTACATTTCATTTGTTACACAGACACTGCTGGGAATTAATAAAAATTCAAACCAAACAAAACAACCCACCGCCAATTTAGAATAATTGCTACAAAGGTTCTGCTTGAGGTAGTAAATTTCAGACTTTGATGAAAATGCAAAGACCCATGAACTCGCAACACAGGAAAACATTAAGGAAGGATCCTAGAGCTGTAATAGGCCCTTAATTACATGGTTAACAAAAATAACAATAAAAGAAGCATTTAAAATTCACAGTAAACAGCCAAATAATGAAGAAAGTACTTAAGAAAGATTTCTTTCCTCTCCCGTACTGCCTTCCTTCCCTTTAAATTACACTTCATTTTAGTTATTTCATATGTACTGTTCTATGCATTTCAGAAGAAGGCTTGGATCACTATTAGAATTCTGATAATTTTTTGCACGTATAGAAATAATACGTTTTCTGAAGAAAAATAAAGAATGGCTACCATAAAACACACGGCAGAAAATAGAGGAAAAAATTCAAACCTAAAATCAAGGAAGAATAAAGGGTATAGAATCAGCTATACCGTAAAGAATATAATGACAAGGAAACAAAGATGAATCAGATTGACTGAAAGCAAGCAATTTTATGAGCAGAGTGGCAACAGAGACACTGAACGATGCCCTGCCTGCAAATGTTTTGAAGACATCGAATTACTGAACAGTTGTCAAGGTGAAAAAGGAACACTGTCCACTCTGGATATACCAAGGCAGCTTAACAAAGGCAAATACATTTACTTATCCTCCTGTAACAGCAGAGGAGGAGACACTCTCGATATTACATACCAACCCTGCAGCAGAACAATAAGGAAAATAGTTCAGTGGTAAAAGCAGAGAAACACTGGATAAGACAGAACAAAGACAACTTAAATAAATAATTAGAAACTCTTCCAAATTAAAGAAAACAATATTTTATTGGCTACTTCTAGAGATTAATCTTCAAACTTTAGTAGCAAAAAAAAAAAAAAAATTAAATCCTACAGTTTACTCACCTGTTTCTCAATCATTTCCCAAGTTGTTTTTGCTGCTGCTGCTTTTGCTTCCTTCTTATTTTTACCAGTGCCTTTACCATATTCTACATTGTCTATTTTAACCGCAACTGTGAACCTGCAATGAAGGAAACTTTTCTAAAACATTGTTACATTTTGTCTCATATATACTTATAACCTTCCCAGATTCAACTTTCTTTTTATTACCTACAAAGCACTATAAGTTAACTGTGGAGATATTTAACTATTCATGTGTTTTTATTATATATAAAACCTGATTATCATAATTCTTTAGGAGAAATATTTTTTAAATGTTTCCTCCCTAGTCACAAATGCATGTACTTTATTAGTTCTAACAGTATTTTTAAATGCTTAACTGCTTTTTAAAAGCAAAATTATTTAAATTTTTAAAAGCAAAAGAATGCATAAGGTCAGCATTGTTACAAGCAAGGTTGTGAAGCTCTAACACCAGGACACACCTCAGCACTGCAAAACTATGTGGAGAGGAAAGATTAGCTAATCTTGATTTCATGGATCCAGACATGACTTTACACTCACCTTTGATACACTGCTACATACGCTATTTAGCAAGTGCAAAAAATGTGTCTGTTGCTTCACGAGACATGAATTTAAAGGCAGTCCCAAAAAACAAACAAAAAAAAAACCAGTCCTGGCCCTCCACACTCAACCACTGATCCCTTCCCCGTCCGTCGCACAAGTGTGCGGGCGCTGCTTCCCATACGGCAACTCCACGAGTCAGAACAGGGAACTGATGCAGCTCAGGACTGACTGTACTGGGTCTGGCTGGGATGGAGTTGACTTTCTTCATAGCAGCTGGTACGGTGTTATGTTGTGGATTTGGGACTAAAACAGTGCCGATAACACAACAGTGTTTTACCTATTGCTGAGCCATGTTTGCACAGCACCAAAGCCTTTTCTTTTTCCCCATTCCGGCCTCCCAGCAAGCAGGCTGGGGGTGTGTGAGAAGCTGGGAAGGGACACAACCAGGGCAGCTGGCCAGAGGGATATTCCATGCCATATGGCATCACGCTCAGCAATAAAAGCTGGGGGAAGAAGGAGGAAGAGGGGACATTTGGGGTTATCATGCTTGCCTCCCAAGTAACCACTATGCATGATGAAGCCCCGCTTTCCTGGAAACAGCTAAACATCTGACTGCCGATGGGAAGTAGCGAGTGAATTTCTTACTTTGCTTTGGTTGCGCACACAGTTTTGCTTCATTTATTAAACTGTCTTTATCTCAATCCACAAGTTTTTCTCCCTTTCACCCTCCCGATTCTCTCTCCCATCCCACTGGGGGAAGTGAGTGAGTGAGTGAGTGAGTGAGTGGCTGGCTGGGGGTTTCACTGCCGCCGGGGCTCAACCCACCACAGGGACCTAATAACGAATGGTTGGTTTTCAGCCAAATTGGTTCTTACCCAGATCCAACTTGTCCTGCAGCTGCAAAATCCCCAATGTTTCTGCTACTGCCTTTGCACAAAAGGCAACAGAGGAGAAAAGAACAACTAGATTTCTGCTTTTGGCAGCAGCACAGACTTGCATCAAGCTAAAGTGACTATTATAATCTCGGGGTACGTCTGTACTTCAGATTGCAGCAGGTCCATAACCATGGACCCCAAGTTAATACGCACTGCTCAGACTTGACAGGTTTAGGCAGGACTGGCCTGGTTGTCCCCACACTGCGTTCCCAGCCCAAGAAAGCTCGCAGCCACTCAGGACTGAGCCAGCCTGGGCCCTCTCAACCTTAGAATCATAGAATCATTTAGGTTGGAAGAGACCTTTACGATCATCAAGTCCAACCGTTAACCTAGCACTGCCAAGTCCACCACTAAACCGTGTCCCTAAGCGCCACATCTACACATTTTTCAAATATCTCCAGGGATGGGGACTCAACCACTTCCCTGGGCAGCCTTTTCCAGTGCCTGACTACCCTTTTGGTGAAGAAATTTTTCCTAATATCCAACCTACACCTCCCCTGGGGCAACTTGAGGCCACTTCCTCTCATCCTATCAAACCTTCTTACATTGCCTTCAGCACTGACCCTGCCAGACATTGCAGTGGAAGCAGCTACAGCACCAAAACCAGGATAGGACAGGAGGAGATGACAGGAGGTGTCTCTGCATCGTGCCTCAGACAACTGCAGGAGGACTTACGAGATGGGACACAGCACAGAAAAGTTAAGGAGCCAGCTCAGGACCAGCAGTGGCCAATGCATCCCCTTAGCAGGCAGAGCACTGGGAAAGAGCACCACAAGGGCACTGAAGGAGGTTTACAGCACTCATCGCCGTAGCCAGACACTGTACATTGTACTCCTTGGAACAGCCCAAGTTATCCAGGATTTTCCTAGATACCACTGTCACACTTCACATCACTTGCAGATACGAGAGAATGGGTTGAAGTATATTTGTGAATGGAGCAAAGCACACCGGAAAAAAAAAAAAAACCACGCAATAAATGGGATAAATGAGTAAATTTGAAATGTGTGTGAGTTCTGTTAGTCCCATGCCATCAGTTTTGAAACATGAAGATGTAGCTGCGTGACCCCAGCTGTGGCCATTACTGCGATAAGGGTTACTTTTTTGAATTACATGAGCTGCACAGGGAAAAAAAATAAGATAACTGATTAACATTTGAGGCCCACATAATACTTATTAATTTATTCTGGGACTATAGTCAGGTCTAAGAATAAGTCAGCACAGACAGTGCTGGCTGGCAGCATGGAGGACATTAAAAGAAACATACTAAATATTAGCATACGGCTTGTCTTCATGCAAACTAGCAAAAATTTAAAAAAAAATCACATAAGAAAACATCATAGACCTTAAATATGTATGATCTCTGGCAAGGGACAAAAAATTAGCAAAACACCATATTTGTGTTAAAAAATAAAACATATTCCATCACCTGTAATTGTCTCTAAAAGTGGAAGCAAAACAGCTTAAGCAAAAGACCCTTCTCTTGTAGCAGATGTTCACAAATTAACTACACATAAAACACGTTGGTACCCAACCAACTAATATACACCCAACCTTTATGGTTAGAAATTAACAACATGAATCGTAAGTAATTTCTACACTTTGTAAAACTAAACAAAAAGCAAAGCACTTAAGTTAGCATAGATCATAAACTGAAATACTTGCTGCAACCCATGCCACCTCCTGAGAGATTTCACGGCAGATGCATAACATACATACCATAGAGTTACCAGCAACATGTGCGTTGCTGTTGCTTTCCAATAAAGGGCCATCAACTCTGAAATAAGTTTTCTCCTCAGACTCTTACCACATGACATCCTCCCCACCCACCTACCACTCAATCAATCGTTTCAACCACGTATACGCTTTCAGCAAATTAACTTTTATGATTGCAAGCTTCACCCAGTTCGTTCATTGCAGGAAGAGTCCTGATGTTTATTGGCATGTGAACTTACTCAGGATCATGAGGTGGGCCGGTCATCATGGTGTTGGCATAAACCAGCGTCAGTTTGTGCTTTTGGCAGTAAGTGTTGATCTTCTCCATACTCTCACGGTCCATTTTGACACAATCTCAAAAAGGTTCTGGAAAGCAACATTCAAAGATACGTTTGTGCCGCCGGGCATAGTATAGAGACCGGCCCTAATCCTGGCAGGCCACTGCTGTGATATAAAATAGAAAACTGGTACCAGTAACAAAGTTCAGGGAAAACTAATCCTAATTTCTAATTCAAGTGAGTGATCTGCAACCGGTTTGGGAGACTTATTGCTTGGAATAACAGATTTAGAAAGCGGAGCAGGGAGTTTACTGACTAGAGAAGATTTCTTGGCAGGAAAAGGCTGAATCATTTCCCGAATTCTGTATGGAAAAAAAAAAATCAGTAACGTTTCTCCAGGCAGAATCAGAATCGATTCCTTCGGGGGGAACCAAGAGGCCTCTCAAACCGCGATGGCTGCCGGGCTCGGTGACACGTACCGAAGGCG